TTAAAGAAAAGTTACTTCTCCAGTTGAGAATATGGATACAGATCTCTTCTCATAACAAAACACGTCTTTTTACGCACCAACTAAAATAACAAAATGTTTTAATCAGATCACGGCGGACTTTACCTCGATTAATTTGTCCTTTTTGACTTGAGTACCACTCTTTATCCTTACATATCCTTTAAAGTCACGGTCTCGAGGCACAAATATTTCTAACTCTTCTCGAAAGCGACTCTCAGGGTCCAGCTGCCATAGCCTTTCAGGTTCAATTGTTAGAGAGGGCGGCAACCGTTTTCTATCGGTAAAGGTACTTAAACCTGTTATGAAGGGCAGTAGTAACAAATCAGAAAGAATAACTACATGTATTTAGCACAAGTTGCAAATATATTTTGGAAAAGTTACATCAACAAGTATTCCTAGGATTTTCTAAAATAATCCTAAGCAGGACCTCTACTTCTCAACGATAACAAAAATTAAAGCAGAAACTGAAAATTTGAGCCCACTGAGCTGCAATTAAAAATAATTGCCATGGAAGCGAGGCTAATTTGACAGAGTTAACCATTTCCATAATAATATTTGTGATACTTGATCATAGTTAAATGAAAAATATCATATTCGGCCCGTGGATGGTAAACAACTGAAGATATTAACCTCATAGAGGAACAGAAAGGATTTGTAGAAAAAAAAACCTGATTTAGTTTTCAGTTTTCTTGTTTTCTTTTTAATTGGGAGCACAATTTTAGTCAAGAGTCTGTGGATCAAAAAATAAATAAATTTCGGCATGATATTACGGAAATAATACATCGACAGGTGCACCTAAGAATATGTTTATTAATTATTAGCAGGACCTCTACTGCTCAACCTTGGAAACATTTTTTTGTGTCGCCAAATTACGTTGTGAAAAGATTGATCCCAATGTAGGGGAGCTTGAAATAAACGGCCATTGTGTTCATACCGGAGCGGGATATGGGGTGATAAAATACTTTAGGAAGACGGAATGGAAGTTAGCAAAGTTTACTAGAGTTGTAAATTACTGATGGCGAAGCATTGTCTATATCATGAGTTTGTAACTTATTATTTTGTAGCAGTTTTGTTTGGCGATTTACAGCGCACTTTCAAAGGCAGATTCTAGGGCAAGACGGATTATTAACGCACAGAATCGACAATGTTCTTGAATTGCATCAACGATATACGTTCCTAGTCTTCGTGAGGACCTCATATCGATTAATAAGTAGTTCTACGAATTCTCAGGATCTTTAAAGAATAAGCCTCGTTGCTCACAAATGATTACCTTTAAAACGACTTAACATGTTTTTACCTCTGTTAACCAAGAACTTACTTTAATGTCCGCCTTACTATTTATCAAACCAAACGAAATATCATGCACACTTCGACAACGATAGTTCTTTCCTACCTAAGACATCTGGTACAATAAGTTTGCTATGCTCATAATACCAAAAATCGCATTTGAGGTTCTCCTCATCGATCTCTCCTGCTAGTAACTTTGCATAGTGATCATCGTCGAACGGCTTAATCTTGCGCTTAACTACCTTCCTGACAATGGCCATTCGTTCATTTCCACCTCTAATAAATTGCCATCTCTTGGATATCTTTTGGCTGTAGTTAAACGAAAACCAGTCTCCTTCTTTAAGGAGTTTGAGGATTTGTCTTTTTCCTGCCATGATGGAAAAGATAAATTTAACCTCTCAATCAGACATTCAGGCGC